CAGTAGAAAGGCAGGTTATCTAACACAGACGCCTCTCTGCCCTCTAATTCAAAGATTATCTGCTGTGATTGGCGTCTGGATGTTGAGATGGATTGAGTGGAGAAAAGGAACATGCGGTGAAATGACCCGACACACACACACACACACCGCTGTCACCTGACCGCTCCATTTCCATAGCAACTATCAGACGAACAGCATCGCTGATGAACAGCTGTGGTTCTGTGCTGATCGCTGGAATGTACAATGTAAATGTCTGAGATACTGACTTCACTAGTACCTCAGTGATTCATGGTAATCTACAAAATGTGCATAACCCACAATGCAATGCACCCAACATGACTTTATATTTTCATTGCAACAAGATGTAAAGCACATAGAAAAAAAAAAAAAAAAAAGACACTAAAACTTAAAAGTAAAACTGAAATATCAAAATTATAGCTAATTCAAGATATTAATAAATGCTAAATAGAAATATAAAAAGCAAGTAATAAAATTAACAAAACTACAAAAAACTACAAAAATAAAAGCTCATCCAACATATTAATAAATACTGTAATAGTATAAAAAGAACACATGCTAAATTATCCCACATGCAGATTCGAACAGATCACAGGATTACGTTATTCGTGATCGCTCTCTCACTGAGACTGACACCTCTGCCTCATTTACTGACTCTCTGCTATTGCTATTCTGCTGGCGTTTGTTTCTCTGGATGGCTGCCGGCGGAGGTCCGTCAGGGTCCTAACGAGTGTGAATCCAGGGCGGCTGGGCCTGTCAGAGCAGAGCTGTCATTAGCAGCACACACACATGACCGGCACTGACCACACACACCGATACAGCCGTCTGTGACAGAGAGAGACAGACAGACAGACGACCAGAGCTGCTTCATCCAAAGATGAACATTTGCTGAAAATTTACTCCCATCCAAGATTAGGATGAGTTTGTTTCTTCATCAGATTTTGAGAAATGTAACATTGCATCACTTGCTCAGCAATGGATGCTCTGCAGTGAATGGGTGCCGTCAGAACGAGAGTCCAAACAGCTGATAAAAACATCACAATAATCCACACCACTCCAGTCCACCAGTTAACATCTTGTGAAGCCAAAAGCTGTGTGTTTGTAAGAATAACCCTTCCTCCAGTGAAAAAGTCATTTGGACTGAATCAGGAGAGAAATATGCACAAATATGTTCAAAGCCAAAACAGTCCACTCTGATAAACACTGTGTGACTCACTGAGCTGCTTGACAGAGAAAGTGCTGAGGAGTGGAAACCTCTCACTGGGGAGAATTATTATTACAGATCTGAGATAATGTACAGCGTACTATCACGTCTCTCAAGGTGAGCGGCTGAGGCAATCATTTCACAGCATGATAAAGACTATCATGAATCAGGAGAGAAATCTGCACAGATCAAGCAGCGTTAAACAGCTCTAAACAAATATGTTGGTGGATTTTGATGTGAGAGACAACAGGAGATGGACCTTTTCACTGGAGGAAGAGTTATTATGGATTATGGACTCGTATTCTAGCCAGAAGCAATTGTCTGAAGTTAAATACATCTTAATGATGGATTTGTTTCAGCTTTTCACTTCACAAGACGTTAACTGATGGTCTGGAGTGCTGTGGATTACTTGTGGATTATTGTGATGTTTTTATCAGCTGTTTGGACTCTCATTCTGACGGCACCCATTCACTGCAGAGCATCCATTGCTGAGACACTGATGCAATGCTACATTTCTCCAAATCTGATGAAGAAACAAATTCAAACAACTTTTTGCTGAAAGTGAGCACACTTTCAGTAAATTTCATTTTTGGGTGAACTATTCCTTTAATATTCAAAGTTTATTTCAAATTAAGGACTCGTTTAAGAATCATTTCTGTCTATATGAGTTTCACAGTCAAAGAGTCTGTGAAAATATGTATTTGGTTACTAGTCTGCAGCACTGAAAAGAAGTGTGAGAAACACATTTTACCATCATATAGGTTGAGAACCTGACAACAAAAAGGCAGAAGCTTTTTACTCCAAACACAAATTATGTTAGATACTATGTATACTTAGTTGTAGGTAATTGCTCATCAGTGAGGAAAGAGTCTCTACAAGTAGTTAAAAAGCATCAAGTAAATGTTTTTATTTTATGTCTGTGCAATTAATTTCGAACATAAAAAAATATGTTGGTCAAATCAACACGAAGAGAGGAACTTTTTTTTTTTCTTTTTTTAATAGGAGTACATCATTTCTGATATTTTATATTGTTTAGTCTCTGACAAGCTACAATAGAGGTTTTCTGTTTGTACATTAATCCTTATATATACTGTATATATATATATGTAGTGCATGGAAACCAGTTAGGAACACAGAAGTCGTAACTGGATTTTCAACACACCAGGAGGGTTAAGAATGCAATTATGGATCTGGATAAAACAATCAATCTATATAAAGGCATTTGAAAAACAGCACAAATAAATATTCAGTTAATCAGTTTCTAAAATTGTTTTAATGTGACCTTCATATGAGAACAATAATAAAAAAAGTTGAAGTATGTTTGTTTTAATAAAATTAAACTTGTGGAATATTAAAGTCCAAACAGCTGAAGAAACATTTAGTTCTGATGATCTGATGAGAAATCTGAGCTCATCCAGACCTGCGAATACAACTGATGTACATTGATTATGCAGCGCCTGTGTGTGTGTGTGTGTGTGTGTTTGTGTGTGTTTGTTTGTGTGTGTGTGTGTGTGTGTGTTATCGTGACCTGAGCTGCTGTGTAGGCATGTTGGCATTTTGCCTGTTATGAGCTGCTGTAATGACTCATTAATAATATGGAGTGTGTGTGAGAGTGTGTATGTGATTAATTGAAAGTGTGTATGTGTGTGTGTGGGGGGGGGTTACAGTGCTGCACATTTCATTAACTCAAACACTTCATAAGCGCCAATCAAACTGACATGACTGTAGAACGAACACACACACACACAACACAGAGACACACACACACACACACACACAGACAAAACGTCTCAGGTTACTTATGTAACCATGGTTCCCTGAGTAGGGAACGAGACACTGCGTCCTCTAGGGGTCGCTATGGGGAACGCCTCGTCGTGACCCGTGTCTGAAGCATACATTGAAAAAACACCAACTTGTTGGCCAGCGACAGCCATGACGTCACTACCGGTGCGACTATAGTATGAGTAACGATATGTTTTATGAAATGTAGTGAAGTAAAAAGTACGATCTTATGCTTTGGAATGTATTGAAGTAAAAGTAAAAGTTACTCAAAATAAAACGACTCCAGTAAAGTACAGATACTTGAAAAATGTACTTAAGTATAGTAACGAATTAAAACTACTCCGTTACTGTCCACCACTGACACACACACACACACACACAAGATTAGATTAGATACATAGTTTTACCTGAAAAAGTTGACTGTTTTATAAAATAAAGATTCTTCTGGTCCAAACAGACCTGGAATATGAAAATAGTATATAGATTTTAAACGCATTATGAGAGTTAAAGAAATATTTTTTAATTAAATGATCATCCATTCAAAAACATCCTGATGAAATAAACACTTTGCAAGAAACTTTTTCCTTTTGTGTTTATTGAAGAAAAAAAAAATCATATTGGTTTGTGAGGGTGAATAAATGATAAATGATTTATTTTGGATGAATTATTCCTTTAAAAGCAAACCCAACAGACAATTTTATGCAGCGGTTGTGCTTATTCTTCTCAACTAACCCATTAAATATGAAGACTTTACTATAGAGTAGATGTGCCACAAACATCAATCATCCGACATGATTTATCAAATGTCCCTGAAAGATGTTTTAATGTTCAATTTACCTCATGCATTTCAAGGATTCATCTGTAACTCAATAAAAGTAATTTCAAAAGATGTCCCTCATTGTTCCGTATAGAGCTGAATAAGAATTCTGTCTCCATGGCAACTTGTCATCCTGGTTCCAAGCATCTTTTAATTTTCTTAAAGAGCACTGGATTTCAAAACATGTTTTCGCTTTTTGCTTATCCAACAGAACTGATTGAAATTTAAAAACCATCATCATGAAGGAGAATAAATCTTATTTAGCAGCCAGGCAGACTGACAGGCATTAGAAGTTTACTGGCGTACAGACATACAGTTTATAGACTCCACACACACACTTCTATTCACAATAATGGCAGGCTGTTTGTTATACATTGTGAAATTATGAAATTAATTCTTCATCATTGTTGTTTTAAGCACCATCTCTTTCCTCATTTTTAAGAGTGTGTATGTACAAATGCAAGATTTTCTGTATTTTGTTCCATACACAGACTTTTTAACTTTTTTGACACCACAACTCGATAAAAAGTGTGTGATAAGTATTTAAAAATGGTTGTTTTTTCATTTGACTTTTCTTGTTTTATTTGTATTTTTTGTGTGTTCCCAATTCCCGTCATTACTATCACACCAAGCATGTTATTTAGTTTTTCCATACAATTTGTTCGGTTATGACTGAAATGAATAGCGACAAGAGACCACAGCAGTCATTAATTTAACTATTTTTACATGACGGAATACTTCTGGGAACATTTGACTAACCAGCTGCCCTAATGTTTTAGTTCAGCATTAATAGAAATGTAGTATGGTAGCTCAACTCCTCTGAATTCATTGCTTTTGTTTGTAATATTCTCAGTACTTGAATACATGTAAATTCAAATTGTGATCTGAAAGTGGCTTCATTAGGAATCATTACCAAATTAAGTAATATTGGAGAATTTAATTCTGAAGCAATCAATTTTTATTTTTATTCTAAATTAAGTTAATTTGATTGTTGTGTTAACCAAGTTTTTCTCTATAAGGTGAAAAATGTCATTACCATCACACACAGTATTACACATTATACCACAATCCACTTGAAGGCTGATTAAGACCACGATAAAATCTTTATTATATTATTTTTTATTACTTATATCTTTTTTACCATATATGTAACATACTTTCACATCAAAAGAGCCCTTAATAAAAAAAAAATGTGTCAGGTTGCAGAAAACGCACACAGCCAGCATCTCTCGGCTTCACTCCGTCAGTCATTTATTTGTTGGCAAACAAGTTTCACTGTTACAACAAATATTAGTGAGAGGTCATTCAACCACAGGAGAAAAAAAAATAATAAACGGATAAAAGAATAAATAAAATCATATTTGTAATGATAAAAATTATAATATGTGCCGCATTCATTTTACCCCCAGCCATTTTGCAAAATAGTTTGTACTTTTTTCCTCAGTGAAATAAATAACCATTCATTCTCCACCAGAAAAAAAATGAAAGCAAATAGAAGGTATGCTAAATCACAAAAGTGCATCTCTATCACTCTCTCTGAATGAAAACGACCTCCATTGATCATGTACTGCGATACGTCTCATATCTCTACTCCAACATATTTTCCACGTTATGTTTCTTTTCTTCATTCATCTACAAACGGGAGTCTATAAATCAAAGAGAATGAGGAAAAATATGAATTCTTTGTCTGTCCTGTCATTTTTTTTCTACTTGCCATTATTCATACTGAAATGAAGACGTGAATGTAAAATATATCATTTAAAAAAAAAGAGCAAAGGATCAAAACCTGTCGTTGAGGACGAGACCATCGGGAGAGAAAGGAAATGATCTGAAATCACCATGGTTACAGAAGCGGAGGGCGTAGGAACAGAATAAGCACTATCCTGTGTAACACTAGTGTCTGTACATTTACATAGAAATATTGTAGAATTCTCCGGTATTAGTTCTTCCCCCGCTTCTCGATATTTGTTATTAATACAGCAAAGAACAGAAATGATGCCCGAGAGCGTGTGGTGAAGACGCCCTTCTTCGTATTGTTCTCCGTCGCAGCAAAATGTGCTGCTTTTCACCACGTGAGAAGAAGAAAAATATTTAAAAAGCAAATATGGATACAGAAGGTATTGAAATAGTTTTCGAGTCACAGACTTGATTGGTATTGACTAGACGCGCTGAGCTACTAACAATCTTTTTGGCAGTTATCTGTATTCCTTCAGGGTTGCAGAGAGTAAAAAACCCACAAAATCTCACACTGCCCCGCAAGGTTACACAGCAAATCCGTTTTCGGGTCTGTTCTCCCTTGAAGTAGAAGTGCACTACCAATAGAATCCAAAGGATGTCAGGTTTCATTCCTCAACAAGCAGGAGTACCCATAATCCTCTCCTGAACGGAATACAACATCGCCTCCCAAGGTTTGTTGCTGTAGTTCATTTCTCTGCGGACATGGAAAAGCAAAAGTGAACAACTGCGGACGACTGAATGGTACGGAAACGTAGAAGATCCAGCGGAGGTCGAGATGTCATGGGTTACGGGTGTGAATGCGACGGGGTTTGGCGCCCTCTATAGGCTGGTTACCATGTGTGCGGTTTCCTGCGGCGGCGTTTCTTCGGGCGAAAGCTCATCTTTGGGAGGAACGATAAAGCCGTCGCTGCTGCCGCGGCCCAGTTGGTAGTAGCTATGCAGCTGGTGCAGATGGTTGCGCGAGCCCAAGTTGGGCATGCTCTTATAGTAAACGTCGTCCGGCTCGCCGCTTCTGGGGAGCGTGTGTGTGTCACTGCCGCGGGGCAGCGAATGCGTGTCGGAGCGTTCGGGGTCGGGCAGCGTGGGCATGCTGGTGTAGAGTGAGTCTCTCTGCGGCGATGGAGTCTCTTCCGTTTGCTCCTCTGTCAGCAGAGGGAAGAAACTCTCGCTGTTTTCTTGCGGAAGGCGCCGTCGCGATGAAGAAGCCGAGCTGAAGGTGGAGGGAAGAGGCTGGACGTGGCGTGGCGGCGGAAGCAAGGGGGTGTTGGACTCCTCCCTGATCAGCTCCAGCCCTAGACTGTCCTCGTGTGGGAAAGACGCAGAGTCGTCCAAACCCAACGCGAGATTGACCGGCAGCATGGGCGAGTCCTTCACCCCGCCTCCGTTGCTGACTTCGTTCACCAGCTTGTTCATGAGGTTGCGTCTGTGCTCGGCCGTGCGGTCGTGGTTGTTCAGGTAGGTGGGCAGGTAGTTGGAGGTGAGCTCTTTCAGGATCCGTTTCTCCAGCGTGGTCTCTTTGTGTACGTTGTACGTGCGGTCGATGATTTGCACGCAGTCGCTCATGTAATCGGCGCTGGCCAAGCTGTAGCTGTTGCCATGGTTACCATTCAGTGGTAGAGTATCCATGGCACTTGTATCCCGAGCATTGTTCAGGATTCCCTCTGCAAATGGAGAGTCAGAGAGAAGAGTAATTACAATCATTTGCGCCTGGTGCATCTGTAAGACCGACATGCAAAACGGCTCGCTGAAACAAACCGAAAAACCTTGAAACCATTCGTCCCTGAGGCGGATATTAATTGAGCTTCCAAACCAATGCTATCTTGGGTATTGATTGGATTCGTCAGGGGTTCAAGGCTGATATGAGGTTTAAAACTCATTCCAGAATTCACTGAAACGTACCAGCTAAGCCTGTGATAATGGACTTACCTGTCAAACTCATCTTTGGCTATAAATTTTAAACCTCAATTGTCCTCATCTCACATATCAAATAACACACAAATCACTCTGCAAAGCTGGCAAACACAACAGAAACACAATGCACGAACACAAACACACAACAATACACAACAGCTAATGCATGTAAAAGCTTTCGACAAACCAAATCATGCTGGCCTTTATATAACACTCATGTATCATTAGGTACAGAGAGAGCAGCTTCTCCGCCTATAGATTTCTACGTTAATTAAATTTTGCATATTATCAGCGTCTTGATGTTAAATTCTTCATGAAAGAAGTGTGCAAGCGTGGACTATTAACACTCTCCCACACTCATATAACGAAACGTGGGAGCACTTTCTTGTTTACCAATTTTTAGCTGCATCATATGAGCATAAACAAATAAATAGCATTTGGATTACTTATCAATGGCTTAGACAAATATGCAAATTTTAATTTGGGAGAAAAGACCAGGGTTGCAAAACACCGAATTGTCCACTCAGTTTCTTTTTTAACAAAAGCATCACTTTGCATTGATGAAGAGACGAGAAAATTAGGTTTTCATTTTAATGAGGTTGAGAGTGCTCTCTGATTAGAATATTGACTAAAACATCTCTTAGCAGAATGGCGTTTACTATAGTTTTAAGGAAAGAGTAATAACAGTAAGATAAATTACATTTGGTAAGCAATGTTTAGTTTGACTCCCATACTTGTCTCTCTGTAGGGCTCTTAAAGGACAGCATGGAAAAAGGAAAGAGAAAAAGGTACAGGTAAGCATTCACAGTGACCGCTCAAATAGAACATGCACACAGATTAATGAAGCGCAGGTAAACGGTTACGCTCAACCACTTTGTTTCACCTCTCAAATACAGACACACGCCCCTGTGTCCCCTTGCAAATCCCAGGATGCACATGTAAATGCCATAAAATTGTGCTTTAAAGCCCCCTGAATGTCTGGAGGGCGCAGAAATTGCTTCTGTCTCCATTAGTGGCGCGCTCCGCTCTGAACGCGGTTCCACGGTTAGACTTGCATTCGGTAAGAGAGTTATTGATCGAGCTAAAGAGGAACATTAAAAGTGGCCTGGGATTCGTAATTTCGGGGCTTTTATTGATATTAGATTTCAAGGTCGCTACAATGTTGTCAATGTAGATGAAGAGGCTGTTATCCAGCGCTCGGCCCTCCCCACTGACGTTGTCCAGAAACGCGTCTGTCTTTCTGTCTCTAGAGCCTTATGAATTCTTTCAAATCTATGCATTAGTGGAGGTGGCAGTAACAGGTGGTGACGGGGAGAAAGCAGATCGCCAGTGCAACAGACAGACAGGGCGAGACAGCTGCATGCAGAGATGCGTTACTGCTTAAAAGGAGAAGCCATGCCTCCTGCGGGCATCTCAGTGTGAGAGCACAGTAGATTCATGTTCTAAAAAAACACGATAGGCATATGAAGTATTGCTCTGAATAAAAAAAACGTACAATGAGTGTATGTATAAAGCTGCAGTGTCATTATACAATGCTCGTCCTGAAATGCCAGGCAATAATGCATGTATAAAGCATGTATAACATTTCTGTTATCCCACGCTTATCCTCAAATATCATGCCTCCTGCAAGCATTGCAGCATGAGTGCATGGTAGATTTCAGGTCTTAACACTTTAATTGTGTGAAGTCTTACTGATTGTTTTGCATGCAGGGAGTGTATTTATTGTTTTTAGTCGCATTAGTGCTGTGACACCACAGAAACACTTAGCACCTAACCAATGACATGCCTTCAAAGACCGGACGATTTTGTATTGTGACTCAGCACTAATGCATGTATAAAGTTTGCAGTCGCATTTGTTATCCCATGATGGTAATGAAATGCCATGGCGAAACTTGTTGATTTCTCAAGATGTGTGAAGTCTTACTGAGTGTTTTCATGCAATGAATGCATTTATTGTTTTCAACTGCACCAATGTTGTAACAAGCCACAAAAACAGTGTAGCGTCGCTGTCCAAACCCTAATGCATGAGGCACATTAGACTGACATGTCTTCAGTCCAGGGTGGACAGTTTTGTCTTGTGATTAAGCACTAATGCATGTATAAAACTGCAGTCACATTTCTGTCTAGATGAAAAAATGGTTATCCCTTGCTCATCCTGAAATGCAAGCATCACAGCTTGAGCGCATGGTATATTTCTGGCCTAAAGGAACACTCTAGACGCGTGATGTCTGTGTTTGTATGCAAGGAACATATTCATTGTTTTTAGCTGCATGAATGCTGCGACATGCCACATAAACCATGTAGCATCGCTGTCACATTAGACTGACATGTCTTCAGAAGAGTGGACTATTTTGTATTGTGATTTGGCACTAATGCATTTATGAAGTCTGCAGTCGCATTTATGGCTAGATGAAAATGTCCTTATCCCATGCTTGTCCTGAAATACCGGGTCTTCTGAGGTCATTGCAGCATGAGCGTATGGTAGATTTTTGGTCTTCAGATGTATGAAGACTTACTAAGTGTTCAGAGGCGAATTAATTGTTTTGAGTTGCATGAAGTCTAGTGTGGCTGTCCAAACCCATCTGCACCAGACACATTAGTGTGACGTGTCTTGATTTGAGCGGGTGATTTTGTTTTATTCTGCAATTAGGCACTAATGCACATATAGATTGCGTCGCAGTTCTGTCATGCCGCGAAATGGAGCCATCAGTTATTATAATTATTTCAGCTCTATGAACTCATTTTTCATTGGGAATTACGTGTTTGTTTGGACAAGACTGTACCAGACAAAAGACAAAGATGGCCACAGACACATTCAGCTTGAAGCCACATAGCGGAGCCCTTTCCCCCACCACACACACACACACACACACAGTTAGTGCATTGGAAGTTAAAGCAACGGAAGAATGCAGCACACCTTGAGCGTTGTACATGCTGAGGGTGGGGTTGTTATAGACGGCTAATTCGCCCAGTAAGGTGTTATAGGGGTTGTTAGAGGCGTGAGCGCGCAGCAGAGAGTTTGGGATGAGGTGATTGGCCATGGCACCTGATACAGCCGCACAGATGGAGAAAAGAACACATAGAGAAGATCAAACAAATGCACCAACAATGTTAGCAACGTTATCATACAGACGTCTCATCAGCAGCCACAGAAAAAGAGCAAGAGCATTCAACAAACGTTATCATTCGTATCTCATCAGAGTCTCTAACGGTCTATGCGAGTGAATGTTGCAGTGCATTTTGGAAGAACATTATCTCTTTTACAAACACCACAAATATTGATGACTCATTTTGCACCTAGGCCATAAATATACATATTTTTTTTCAATAAAATGCTTTGTCTGAAAGTAAATTTCCACTAAATAAGAAAAAAATAATGCTGTAATAAATCATAATTACGGCATAAGTCACAATTATGAGATACTAAGTTATAATAACGAGATATAAAGTCACTTTTGACAAAATTACCTTTTATTTATGCTAATATAATAATATATCTCATAATGTTTACTTGTCATAATTAGACTTTATCTCATAATTTTAGCTTAGTGTCTCATAACTTTGACATTTTGTAAATTTTGATTTTTTTTGTTATAACTGACTTGTTATCTCACAATTTGTTGTGTCATAATCACATAACAGTTTTTATCTCATAATTAAGACCTTTTGTCAATTTAGACTTTATCTCATAATTTTGACTTTTACATAATAACTGACTTATCTCACAATATCTGTTTTGTCAATCTCATAACGCCTTTTATCACAATTACGACTTCTCATAATTCGGACTTTTTGTTATAATATTAAGTTTATCTCATAATTATGTCTTAGTATCTCATAATTTTGATTTGTCAATTTTGTCTTTATATAATAACTGATTTTATCACAATTTCTATGTTCTGTCAGTCTCATAATGCTTTTTATCGCATAATTATGACTATCTCATAATTTCGACTTATTTCATAATAATGATTCATCAAAGCATTTTTTTCTCCTTATGTGGCGGAAATAGGCTTCCATAAGAATCTGAATGTTCCTCCTCCTAATTTCCCCTACTGTACATCTGACTAGCAACAGCATGTAGCAAATCATGTTTCACGTCTGTGATGTCAACAAAAGGCTAGTGGTTATTTAAAAAGAAACAAACCCTTTATGTCCTGCCAAAAAAACAAGAAAGAAAACTCTGCTCAACAAACCATTTCATAGAGTGTTTAATATCTGCAGCAGTGGTGATAAATGGGGATGAATTTAGAGACAGAACTTCTCTGAAAGGTTGTTAACATGCGAGTGTGCTTTAGCATGCTGACAGATATATCTCTCCAAGATGTTGTGTCTCGAAAATTCATCCCCTTTAAAGCACTGCTTTTGTAACAAATTCTCCTCCATATTCTTCATTTTCAAGACAATTACTGCTGGACTGAAATCGCCTGCTGTGAGCAGTTTTTCTATTAGTATGAATAATCTCTCGACAGGCCCACACAGAATCTGTGCGCACCCATTTCCACAAAATTGGATTACCTGCTTTTCAAAAAGTTATATATCTCCCACCCCTTGCATTTGTTTATTAAATATTTTAGCTAATTTGATTATGCTTTCAATTATCAATAAGAGTATAATGCTTTCAGCTCAGCTCTCAGTTTTTTTTGACTTTGCAATAACAAGACGTTATAGCTTTTTTTTTTAATTATTATTCTGCCCATTTAACACACATAAACAAGTCTGGAAATGATTCTAACCTAAACAACTAGTCATTCAAACAACCTACCAATTAGTCAATTAAAAAAAAAATGTCATTGTATAATCACTTTCTGTTTGAATGTCCTATGAAGATCATTTCCAATATGAGCTAATTTATTCAACAGAGGTTTGATTGTGATTATCAGCGTAGGCACATTTATTATGCAGTCGGCTAATTACACACCTCTGAAAATCATACGCTGAACACTGAGATAAGCACCTTCAGAGATACGACACAGAAAGAAAGAGACAGACAGGGAGGTTCACTGAGGTTGAGGTTTAAATGCGCCCTTTTCTGCAAAGGAAATTGTTACACAAATTGACCCTTGACCTACACAGTGTTTGCACGGAAGACCCTGACCTCTGAAAAATTATCTCCAAAAGTGAGCTAAACCTCCAATACAACAACATCCATTTGAGGAGGTAAATATGACTCATAAATATATTATGGCTGTCAAAATATACACATTAACATGATTAAAAATGTCTAATGTGCAATGATTAAAAATTTCATTTTAATGCAGTTAACACATTTGCCTAATTTTATGACCTAAACACTATAATTTAGCAGAAGACATCTCAAGATGAGTAAGATTAAAACCATAAAGTATTAGGGTAGCAGTAATAGTACCACATACTTACTACTATACTATATAAACTTATATTACTAAGTACTTTCAGTGTGTGTGTGTGTGTGTGTGTGTGTGTGTTTATATACACACACACACGCACGCGCACACACACACACACACAGGTGCGCACACACACACACACACACACAGGTGCGCACACACACACACACACACACAGGTGCGCACACACACACACACACACACACACACACACACACACGCACGCACACGCACACACAACTATAGCAGAAAGTACTATAGCGTAATATGTTTATATAACAAAACTTTACTCAGTATTTTCTGCTATAGTCATAGGTAGTACATAAGTCAAAATTGACAAGTCAAAAATATGAAATATTGTCATAATTATGAGATACTATGTCAAATATGAGATAAAAGTTTAAATTATGATAAAAGTCAAAATGATAAGTAAAAAAAGTAAAAAAGTAAAAATTATGAGATACTATGCCATAATTATGAGATAAAGTCTAAATTATGACAAAAGGTTGAAATTATGTGATATAATATAATTTTATTTATTTAATTAATTTATTGTCATAATTGACTTTATCTCAATATGCCCCATGCATTATGACTAAATGGGTTAACAACAAAAAAGTGTGATTAAATAATTAACATATTTCAATAATAATTTGTAGTTGTTATTTATACTAAATATTTAAAATAACCAGCAGTCCTAAAATAAGCTTTAAAATGTTTTCTTTGAAGTTAGTTTGTAGTTATTGTAATTCTTTGATGGTTTTGTGTCTCTCAGAGTGTAATCTGTCCTGTGACTCAGTAAAACGCACACGCACACACACACACACACACATCTGGGTTAAGGGCTGAGAGCCTAATTATTGCCATCGTGACACTTCCTCTCATTAGTGAGACTTTAGTGTCTCACTGATCAGAACACAGACAGAGAGAGGCAGACTGAGAGAAAGGCGTCTTATATTTAGAACAGATCTTCATTCTCCTGCACACTGCGGTCTGTACAGTAGAAAAACCATTACGCCTATGGAGAGTCCCCACAAGGATAGCTGACCAGACTGTGTGTGTGTGCGTGTGCGTGTGTGTGTGTGTGTCTTGATGAGTCTTGTGATTTCTCTGTATGTCTCTCACACACGAGTTGGGCTTTGTGTCTCTGGTTAATACATCTGTCTGATCTGAGTAGTATGAGTGATGGAGCGTCACACACAC